GGTAGCGACACTCTCCTCTTCCACTCTCGTTTCTCCTCTGTCTCCTCTCCTTTGCACTCTCTTTCTGAACGTGGCCGCGCCCGCATTGCTCTTGCGTATCAGACGCCCTTTCGCGACTAGAGCGCTCACTCAACCAACAGCGCGCTGAGAGCGTTTGCGCAAGCCGTCTAACTCACCCTAAAATTAACTTACGAGCCTAACGTTGGCCCATGACAGATCACACGCACGCGCAATGCGTACGTCTTATCCCGCCTTGATCGAGTCACACCTGCATTGCTCTTGCGTAGCAGACGCCCTTTCGCAATTAGAGCGCTCACTCGACCAACAGCGCGCTGAGAGCGTTCGCGCAAGCCGTCTAACTCACCCTCAAATTTACTTATGAGTGTAACGTTGGCCCATAACAGATCACACGCACGCGCAATGCGTACGTCTTATCCCGCCTTGATCGAGTCGCACCTGCATTGCTCTTGCGTAGCAGACGCCCTTTCGCAATTAGAGCGCTCACTCGACCGACAGCGAGCTGAGAGCGTTTGCGAAAGCCGTCTAACTCACCATAAAATTTACTTATGAGTGTAATGTTGGCCCATAACAGATCACACGCACGCGCAATGCGTACGTCTTATCCCGCCTTTATCGAGTCGCACCTGCATCTATCTTGCGTAGCAGACGCCCTTTCGCAATTAGAGCGCTCACTCGACCGACCAGCGCGCTGAGAGCGTTCGCGCAAGCCGTCCAACTCACCCTAACATTAACTTATGAGTGTAACGTGGCCCATAACAGATCACACGCACGCGCAATGCGTACCGTCTTATCACGCCTTGATCGAGTCGCACCTGCATCTCTCTGCGTAGCAGACGACCCTTTCGCAATTAGAGCGCTCACTCGAGCGACAGCGCGCTGAGAGCGTTCGCGCAAGCCGTCTAACTCACCCTCAAATTACTTATGAGTGTAACGTTGGCCCATAACAGATCACACGCACGCGCAATGCGTACGTCTTATCCCGCCTTGATCGAGTCGCACCTGCATTGCTCTTTGCGTAGCAGACGCCCTTTCGCAACTTAGAGCGCTCACTCGACCGACAGCGCGCTGAGAGCGTTTGCGCAAGCCGTCTAACTCACCCTAAAATACTTATGAGGTACTGTTTGCCCATAACCGATCACACGCACGCGCAATGCGTACGTCTTATCCCGCCTTGATCGAGTCGCACCTGCATTGCTCTTGCGTAGCAGACGCCCTTTCGCAATTAGAGCGCTCACTCGACCAACAGCGCGCTGAGAGCGTTCACGCAAGCCGTCTAACTCACCCTAAAATTAACTTATGAGTGTAACGTTGGCCCATAACAGATCACACGCACGCGCAATGCGTACGTCTTATCCCGCCTTGATCGAGTCGCACCTGCATCTCTCTTGCGTAGCAGACGCCCTTTCGCAATTAGAGCGCTCACTTCGAGCGACAGCACGCTGAGAGCGTTCGCGCAAGCCGTCCAACTCACCCTAACATTAACTTATGAGTGTAACATTGGCCCATAACAGATCACACGCACGCGCAATGCGTACGTATTATCCGCCTTGATCCGAGCTCGCACCTGCATCGCTCTTGCGTAGCAGACACCCTTTCGCAATTAGAGCGCTCACTCGACCGACAGCGTGCTGAGAGCGTTTGCACAAGCCGTCTCACTCACCCTAAAATTTACTTATGAGCGTAACGTATGCCCATGACAGATCACACGCACGCGCAATGCGTAGGTTTTATCCCGCCTTGATCGAGTCGCACCTGCATTGCTCTTGCGTAGCAGACGCTCTTTCGCAATTAGAGCGCTCACTCAACCGACAGCGTGCTGAGAGCGTTCGCGCAAGCCGTCTAACTCACCCTAAAATTTACTTATGAGTGTAACGTTGGCCCATGACAGATCACACGCACGCGCAATGCGTACGTCTTATGCCGCCTTGATCCAGTCGCACCTGCATTGTTCTTTCGTATCAGACGCCCTTTCGCGACTAGAGCGCTCACTCAACCAACAGCGCGCTGAGAGCGTTTGCGCAAGCCGTCTAACTCACCCTAAAATTAACTTACGAGCCTAACGTTGGCCCATGACAGATCACACGCACGCGCAATGCGTACGTCTTATCCCGCCTTGATCGAGTCACACCTGCATTGCTCTTGCGTAGCAGACGCCCTTTCGCAATTAGAGCGCTCACTCGACCAACAGCGCGCTGAGAGCGTTCGCGCAAGCCGTCTAACTCACCCTCAATTTACTTATGAGTGTAACGTTGGCCCATAACAGATCACACGCACGCGCAATGCGTACGTCTTATCCCGCCTTGATCGAGTCGCACCTGCATTGCTCTTGCGTAGCAGACGCCCTTTCGCAATTAGAGCGCTCACTCGACCGACAGCGAGCTGAGAGCGTTTGCGAAAGCCGTCTAACTCACCATAAAATTTACTTATGAGTGTAATGTTGGCCCATAACAGATCACACGCACGCGCAATGCGTACGTCTTATCCCGCCTTTATCGAGTCGCACCTGCATCTATCTTGCGTAGCAAACGCCCTTTCGCAATTAGAGCGCTCACTCGACCAACAGCGCGCTGAGAGCGTTCGCGCAAGCCGTCCAACTCACCCTAACATTAACTTATGAGTGTAACGTTGGCCCATAACAGATCACACGCACGCGCAATGCGTACGTCTTATCCCGCCTTTATCGAGTCGCACCTGCATCTATCTTGCGTAGCAAACGCCCCTTTCGCAATTAGAGCGCTCACTCGACCAACAGCGCGCTGAGAGCGTTCGCGCAAGCCGTCCAACTCACCCTAACATTAACTTATGAGTGTAACGTTGGCCCATAACAGATCACACGCACGCGCAATGCGTACGTCTTATCACGCCTTGATCGAGTCGCACCTGCATCTCTCTTGCGTAGCAGACACCCTTTCGCAATTAGAGTGCTCACTCGAGCGACAGCGCGCTGAGAGCGTTCGCGCAAGCCGTCCAACTCACCCTAAAATTACTTATGAGTGTAACGTTGGCCCATAACAGATCACACGCACGCGCAATGCGTACGTCTTATCCCGCCTTGATCGACTCGCACCTGCATCTCTCTTGCGTAGCAGACGCCCTTTCGCAATTAGAGCGCTCACTCGAGCGACAGCGCGCTGAGAGCGTTCGCGCAAGCCGTCCAACTCACCCTAACATTAACTTATGAGTGTAACGTTGGCCCATAACAGATCACACGCACGCGCAATGCGTACGTCTTATCACGCCTTGATCGAGTCGCACCTGCATCTCTCTTGCGTAGCAGACACCCTTTCGCAATTAGAGCGCTCACTCGAGCGACAGCGCGCTGAGAGCGTTCGCGCAAGGCGTCTAACTCACCCTCAAATTTACTTATGAGTGTAACGTTGGCCCATAACAGATCACACGCACGCGCAATGCGTACGTCTTATCCCGTCTTGATCGAGTCGCACCTGCATTGCTCTTGCGTAGCAGACGCCCTTTCGCAACTAGAGCGCTCACTCGACCGACAGCGAGCTGAGAGCGTTTGCGAACGCCGTCTAACTCACCCTAAAATTTACTTATGAGTGTAATGTTGGCCCATAACCGATCACACGCACGCGCAATGCGTACGTCTTATCCCGCCTTGATCGAGTCGCACCTGCATTGCTCTTGCGTAGCAGACGCCCTTTCGCAATTAGAGCGCTCACTCGACCAACAGCGCGCTGAGAGCGTTCACGCAAGCCGTCTAACTCACCCTAACATTAACTTATGAGTGTAACGTTGGCCCATAATAGATCACACGCACGCGCAATGCGTACGTCTTATCCCGCCTTGATCGAGTCGCACCTGCATCTCTCTTGCGTAGCAGACGCCCTTTCGCAATTAGAGCGCTCACTCGAGCGACAGCACGCTGAGAGCGTTCGCGCAAGCCGTCCAACTCACCCTAACATTAACTTATGAGTGTAACATTGGCCCATAACAGATCACACGCACGCGCAATGCGTACGTATTATCCCGCCTTGACCGACTCGCACCTGCATCGCTCTTGCGTAGCAGACGCCCTTTCGCAATTAGAGCGCTCACTCGACCGACAGCGTGCTGAGAGCGTTTGCACAAGCCGTCTCACTCACCCTAAAATTTACTTATGAGCGTAACGTATGCCCATGACAGATCACACGCACGCGCAATGCGTAAGTTTTATCCCGCCTTGATCGAGTCGCACCTGCATTGCTCTTGCGTAGCAGACGCTCTTTCGCAATTAGAGCGCTCACTCAACCGACAGCGTGCTGAGAGCGTTCGCGCAAGCCGTCTAACTCACCCTAAAATTTACTTATGAGTGTAACGTTGGCCCATGACAGATCACACGCACGCGCAATGCGTACGTCTTATGCCGCCTTGATCCAGTCGCACCTGCATTGTTCTTTCGTAGCAGACGCCCTTTCGCAATTGGAGCGCTCACTCGACTGACAGCGCGCTGAGAGCGTTTGCGCAAGCCGTCTAAGTCACCCTAAAATTTACTTATGAGTGTAACGATGGCCCATGACAGATCACACGCACGCGCAATGCGTACTTCTTATCCCGCCTTGATCGAGTCGCACCTGCATTGCTCTTGCGTAGCAGACGCCCTTTCGCAACCAAAGCACTCACTCGACAGACAGCGCACTGAGAGAGTTCGCGCAAGCCGTCTAACTCACCCTAAAGTTTACTTACGAGTGTAACGTTGGCCCATGACAGATAACACCTGTAGTGACGTGCCCGGGTAGCGCGGACGCCGCTAGCCGAGCTAAAAGTGGGCGTGAAGCCCGCGAAGAATGACCCGACAACGCGTAGTTCACAAACAGCAAAAAGCCCCGTTGAATGCCCACCGATGCCTTTTTTACAGAGTGGGGGCGCCACCTCCCAGTTACTAGAAGCAACAGGTGGCGTCCTCTACATCCCTCTTTCCGGAGCTCTCAAACACAAGTGTTCCAAAAGAGCACCATCAAGAAACAGTCCTTGCAGCAGTCTCACAAATTCAGTCTCCGACGTGGCACCACGCGCCGGCCGTATCGTGTGTAACGGTGACCTGGCGATCCTGCAGCAGGTGCAGGAGCTAGAGTGTCCGATGCGTTACCGGTTGCTGCCCGCTGTGGTCCGGGAGACGGCGCCGATGTCTGGGCCACAGGGTTGGGGATTCCCGTCTCATCTGAGGGGGCCGACTGAGGACTGCTGCAGGGGACAAGGTGTCTGCGGTTTCTCACTAGTATGCCACTGGGCGTCTGGATGATGTACGAGCGGGGTCTCTGAGCCGGGCTTAGGACCGTCGCCCTCGCCCACGTGTCACGCACCCAAACTTCCTCCCCATCGTCGAGAGCACGAAGGGCATGCGCTGCGTGTCGGTTATTGTAGTCTCTCTGTTGTCTTCGTCTCTGGGCGGCATCTCCGTCATTGAATTCCTTCACCTGGGGCCAATCTGGAAGAAGGCTTTGAGCCGTGGCTGGCACACGAGTTCGCAGAGAGCGTCCCATGAGCAGTTGGGCCGGGCTGTAGCCAGACACACCGGGAGTGTTACGGTATGCTAGCAGAGCCAGAAACGGGTCCGTGGCCTTCAGAAACAACTCCTTGATCGTGCGAACCATGCGCTCTGCTTCACCGTTCGACTGCGGGTAGCGTGGACTGCTCGTGACATGCTTGAAACCGTATGTCTTCGCAAAGTCCTCAAAAGCTTTGCAGAAAAACTGTGGCCCATTGTCGCTGACAACAGTCACCGGGATGCCGTGTCGGGCAAATGTGCTCTTGATCGCAGAAATAACGGTTCCCGCAGAAGTGGACCGGAGTGTGAGGACCTCAGGGTACCGAGAACGGTAGTCGACAACCACCAGGAACTCTTAATTAGCAAAATGAAACAAGTCAATGACCACCCTTTCCCACGGAGCTGATGGTGTCTCGGTCGCAATCATAGGCTCATAGCGTTGAACGCGTATAGAAGCACATGTTGGGCAGTTCTCTACGGCTGCTTTAACCTGGCTGTTGAGACTGGGCCACCACACAGAGCCTCGGGCCACCGCCAAGCACCGATTGACGCATTGGTGACCATCGTGCTTCAGGTTCACAATGTCTCTGCGTAGTGCTGCGGGCACAACTAGGCGTCCGCCCATGAACAGCATGTTCTCGCATACAGTGAAGTCTCCCCGGTGGTCCCAATAACGCTTCATGTTGAGTGGCAGACGGTCTCGTCGAGGTCACCCTTTCATGCAATATGCTTTCAGCATTGAGAACTCGCCGTCTGAAGTTTGGTGAGATCTGAAGTCTTCAAGACGTACAGCCAGGGTTGAAGGAAGGGCTGCCACGACCAGAGACACAAAAATTTCTGTGCTGTCCTCTTCGGACGTGGAAGAGCTTTCGGGATCACTAGAGAGGGTGTCTGCCGTGGCCAGGTACTTTCCTGGAACATACTTGACTGTGAACTGATATCGCATGAGCCTTATGCGAAATCTTTGGATGCGAGGGGGCATGAGGTCCAGATCGGCGGAACCAAGCAACCTGACGAGGGGCTGATGGTTGGTTTCAACGACAAAGCTGAGTCCACGCAGTAATTCCTCAAACCTCTCGATAGCCCAAGAGACACCAAGTGCTTCTTTCTCAATCTGACTGTACCGCTGCTCAGCGGTAGTCAGTGCTCTTGACGCGAACGCGACAGCCCGTCACTCTCCCGTCTGTTGCTCCTGCAAGAGAACCGCGCCTAGCCCAAACGAACTGGCATCTGCCGACACAAGGGTGGGTAGCTCTGGATTGTAGCGGGCCATACAAGCATTAGATGCCACCATTCCCTTCAATGTCTCGAAAGAGGTCGCTTGCGCATGGTCCCAGGTCCAGACCGCGTTCTTGTTCAACAGGAGCCGTATCCGTGTAGTGACGGCACACAGGTTCGGTAAAAATCTTCCAATGTGGTTCAGCATGCCCAGGAAGCGACGGACGCCATGCGGATCTGTCGGCGGCTTCATGTTCACAATAGCAGATACCTTGTCAGGGTCAGCCGAGATGCCACTGGCGCTCACCACTACACCAAGGAACTTGACGGAAGATACCCCGAAGGAGCATTTCGAGGCATTCAACGTAATGCCAGCTTGTTCTAACTTACGAAGGACTGCTTGGAGTCTGCTGTCGTGCTCGGAACGGCTCCTGCCGAATACTAGAATGTCATCTACCATGTTCACACACCCTTTCAGGCCCTCTAGAATCCGACACATTTGGCGCTGAAATACTTCGGGAGCGGAGATGATGCCGAAGGGCAGGCGGTGGTAGCAGTAGCGTCCAAACGGTGTTATGAAGGTAGTCAGCTCCTGACAGCTTTCCAATAGCCTTACTCGATGAAACCCCGATTTTGTATCAAGTTTCGAGAAGACCGCGGCATTGCCAAGACGGCCAAGTACCTGGTCCACTGTGAGCATAAGATGTCTCTCCCGAAGAACTACTTGGTTCAACTTCGTGAGGTCAACACAAAGTCTGTATTCGCCATCGGCTTTGGGTACCAGCACAATACTAGCACACCACGGGGTGTGCACTGTGACTCGCCGGATGACCCCGTCCCTTTCCATGGCATCTAAGTCCTTCTTGACTACGCCTTCGAGAAGAATAGGGATGCACCTAGGAACGCTGAGAGAAAATGGAATCGCTCCCGGCTTGATACGAATGTGGTATTCTTCAGGTATCTCGCCGAGGCCTGGGAACAGCGAAGCTGCGGTCTTGTCTGACGTTGGGGGCCTATTTGGAACTTCCGCATCTTCCACGGTGTCAACAAACTGGACGACTCCCAGGTCCACTACCGCCGAGTACCCCAGCAGAGGAGAGTCAATGTCTGCTACAACGTACAACGTTTTGCATACCGACCGGCCTCGCCACGACAGGGTAGCAGGAAACGTCCCAAGCAACCTTAGGCGGCAGCGGCCCGGCCCCATCAACCGTTCATTAGCGGGTTTGTCCAGGTCTATTGGGCACCCGGCGAAGCTCGGAGGTACGACCGAAACGTCCGCCCCAGTATCCACTTTGAATTGAAGGGGGCGTCTGTTGACATGAATACAAAGTGCCGGCGTTCTGTTTGCGAGGCATCCACGGCGCAGAGCTGGATTTGGCTTAAACGCCTAGTATTATTCGAGCAGCAAACCACCGCAAAGTGTCCCTTCTTGCGACATTGGTTGCATGGGGCCCACCGTGCTGGGCACTCAGATCGCGGATGAGGGGCGTGGCCGCAAAAAATCGCATGCCGTCTTCGAGCTGACGCGGTACTCGGGAGGCCGACAGACGTTACTTTTACTCCGGGCAGCTTCGCATGCTGGGGCGTCGGCCATTCGGTACTGGTTGTTCGCAACAGCGTCGACGTTCAGTGCGTCTGGTGCAAGGCCTGTCCCCTGACGCCGCAATTTCTCATTTTCAGCGTCTTCGTACTGACGCGCTTGGATGAGCGCCTCGTCCAGTGTAAGCTTTGGATTGCGGCAGAGCTGGTCGGTCAAGCGAGAGTCAAGCAAACCTACGATAAATCTGTCCCGAACCAGCCGGTCGTCGATTTCCCGAGAGGCACAGTTGCACTTCTTCACGAGATTTCGGAGCACCGTGAAAAACACGTCGACCGACTCGCCTACCACTTACGTGCGCTTCTGGAACCTGCTCGACTCGTATACCTCGTTGACGGGGTGTACAAAATATTCCGAAAGACTTGTTGTCACGCCGGAGTACAAGCGATAGGCCTCGGCGTCTGACATGAGAGACGAAAGCACCTCGCGACCTTGGGGACCCATATAGTAGAGGAGCGTGCGTGCCTTGATTTCTTCGAGGGCGGAGGACAGTCCTGAGGCAAAGGAGTAATCCTCGAATTGTTGAAGTCACGCCGTCCATTGGGCTGGGTTGTCAAAAGTTAACTGCGGCGGAGTTCGCAATGTGAAGCTGGCGGTCACGGCGGAGGCGGCGGCTCGGTTATCCTGCGTGTTGCACGGTTGTCGCAGGACCCCACTTCTGACACCATGTAGTGACGTGCCCCGGGTAGCGCGGACGCCGCTAGCCGAGCCAAAAGTGGGCGTGAAGCTCGCGAAGAATGACCCGACAACGCGTAGTTCACAAACAGCAAAAAGCCTCGTTGAATGCCCACCGATGCCTTTTATACAGAGTGGGGGCGCCACCTCCCAGTTACTAGAAGCAAAAGGTGGCGTCCTCTACAACACGCACGCGCAATGCGTACGTCTTACCCCGCCTTGATCAACTCGCACCTGCATTGCTCTTGCGTAGCAGACGCCCTTTTGCGACCAGAGCGCTCACTCGACAGACAACGCACTGAGAGGGTTCGCGCAAGCCGTCTAACTCACCCTAAAATTTACTTACGAGTGTAACGTTGGCTCATGAAAGATCACACGCACGCGCAATGCGTAGTCTTATTCCGCCTTGATCGACTCACTCGCTGTCGCAGTGACCAGATGTTAACTTTGTGTGCATAAACCCTTAGTATGTACGTTTTTAAACGTATGATGATTGCGGGAGTGCGTTAAACGGGGTAAACGCTTGCTTTCGACGGGAGTTTCTCGAGTGGCACTTAGGTTTCGGCTGCGAAGTCTGTGCGGTGAAAAAGGCAAGACGAAGTAAACAGCAGCGAAAAAATGTGGCACATAGTGAAAAAAGGGAAAGCGCGTAGGGGTAGCGCTGAAGGAAAAGGAACAAGAAGCAGCCAGGCTCGGAAGAACAGTCCCTGTAGTGGGTACGAGCCACAGCATATAGCAACGAGCAAGCAAGCAAACAGTTGCAGTCACGCAAGAACACGGCGTACGAGAGGCCATCCAGGTTGGTGCGGCCTACCCGGAAGAACTGCTGGGCAGCCTCTTGATGGGTCGCATTCTTGTGGATGCTTGCGTATCTGGCATCCAACTGCTGTCCACTTCTTGTCGTCTTTTCGGACTTGTTGGCTTCACCCAGCTGCTCTTCATGATGTGCCACGTCGTGCCAATGCACTAAGGTGCACATCAAGCCACGCCGCCCCTTCCCCGTCGTCCACCGAGTGGTTCTACTGCTGGCCGGCTGTGCGATGGATGATTACGCCAATGGGAACGAATCACTGTTGTGTCTAGAGACTGCGTATAGCGTACATGTACGGATCTCTGTGTAATTCTGTGTATTGTCACCAGAGATCAGTTCCTTTCGTTATTATATGAAGATTTATCAGCCTCAACGTGTTCAGATTCATTCTTCACAGCTCCGCACAAGACTTAAATTTGAGCGACGTTCCCTCAATCTATTCACTAGTCTGTGACCGCCTTCTGATCAAGACCAACCAATGTGAATAACACATTGTGACGTGCATTTAATCACTCATTACGCACTTCCATGACCGTGATCATGCGAGACACAAATTGCGCCATGTGAAAAAAAAACACTGGTAAACTCAAGCCTAACGTGTGTTGACATTGTGAGGCCAGAGAAAGAGTGTAGGAGAGGGAGAGGGCGCACATGTGCAATGCGGGAGCATTAAAAAATATGTTATTTTCCATCACCCATGTCACAAAGTTGCAATCAAACATGCGTTACAAGCCAAATATTATTTTAGGTTGAAACTGCCATGTACACCTTCAGGTATAGTGCCAAGGAAAAGGGTGGAATGGAGTTTGATGCCGTGCCCGGGGCCCCATAACACTGCCACGCGGGCTGCAGGTTGCCGATTTCTGGTCTACAGCATTCTGTGTGCAGACTGTAGTGCAAGTTGCATCAGCAAGAGACAGGCAACTTTCAGCAAAGAATCGAGCAGCACATGAATGATGTAAGAAAGAAAAATGTTTTATCGAACGCACTGACCGAACACACAGAGGCTACCCCACTAAATGCAGTGTCACAGGGCAAAGATAACAGAAAATTGCCAAACTCCACTTCGCCTTATCTTCAACTACGACGATCCAGACAATGACATGCACTCTTAATAAAACGGCAACTTACTTTACAAGTGTCCACATTGCCTATTTCATATCTTAAAAGATATATAACAGGACCATATGTACAGTAATTTTTCATTGGGAACAAGGCTACAGTGTGGGACCGAAACGTCTTGTTTTATGTGAGCGTCGGTGGTCGATGTCTATTTCAAGTATCAAAAGACCTGCTTCGAATTCTGTATGCACAGTTATGATTCTGAGTACCTGGGGCCGCTCATTCATTTTTAAGACAGAGTTAACACTAGGTGGCACTCATTGGTACGAATATTCATGCAGTAATGGTTTCGAATCAAAAATACACATATTGCAGCGACCCATAAAACACGTTTAGTGTTGTTGACCAAAAGGTTAATGGCAGTGAAAGAAGTTAGGAAAAATAGGAATCCATCTCTGTAGTAAACGAATGCCTAGAACACTGGCCACCGGACTGCTATGCCTTTTCTGCTCATTATACAAACAGCAGTAGTGGCAATATAACTAAAAACCTCTAAGAAACTGGCTCTTCCATTCTATTTTTTCTTCCACTCACTTCGCCAGCTCTGCATTGTGCC